ACCAGCGGGCACGCTGGCCAAGCTGCCCTGACGCGCTCTTTCCTAACGAGGTTACTCGTGACTGTCCCCCCAGTCTCCACAGGCTGCAAGGCCTGCATCTTCTTCTCTTCAGCACGYACTGCACTCGCAGTGCAAGCGCAGGCAGGGCCATGCAAGATCAGTGCATTCGTGGAGCTTCTCGAGAAGATTCATGGAGCTTCTCAAGAGGGTCCAGAGAAGAGCAACCAAGATGATTAAGGGAATGGAACTWYTTCCGTACAAGGAGAGGCTGAGGCAGCTGGGCCTGTTTTCTCTGGAGAAGAGAAGGCTCAGAGGGGATATGATTAACATGTATAAGTTCAGGAAGGGAGAATGCAGGGAGGAAGGGGACAGGCTGTTTTCACTAGTGGCCAGCAATAGGACAAGGGGTAATGGCCATAAGCTGGAGCACAGGAAGTTCCATCTGCAGGTGAGGAGGAACTTCTTTACTGTGAGGGTGACAGAGCMSTGGAACAGGCTGCCCAGGGAGGTTGTGGAGTCTCCTTCTCTGGAGGTCTTCAAAACCTGCCTGGATGCCACCCTGTGCCACATGCTCTAGGTGTGCCTGCTTGAGCAGGAAGGTTGGACTAGATGATCTCTAGAGGTCCCTTCCAACCTTGAATATTCTGTGATTCTGTGATTCTGTGATCAGCAGCAACACCAGAGCTCGAAATTCCAGCATGGGGCTCTTGCTGGGACAGAGCTCGCGCTGCCACCATGGGAGTGCTCTCGGAGCAAGTGCGGATACGACRTCTCCGACCAGGGGAGCCAGCAGAAGCGGGAGCATCCTCCCATTCCTATAATCCTGTAACTGTATAACCCGCAGGGACAGTGCCACATAGAGCAGCTCATGCATTCGTCCCTCCTGGCTGACACCCGCAACGGGGCTGCTGCTCCAGCCAGTACCCACGGAGGCAGACAYCCGTCCTCGCGAGGCGGCAGCGGCGACGTTCGCGGACAAGTGAGACGGTTGCTCTGCCCCAACCAGACGGGACCTTCATGAGACCTTCACAACAGCAGCAACGCAGCTGTGCAGCTCACACTTGCCCCAGGCCAGCACCACCACCCCATGCACCCTTTGCACCCACCCACAGGGGTCTTTCAGCCTACTCAATTGCTCTTCCCTCTTTTACTTTTTTCCTTTAATCCCATTTTTTCTCCAAACAGCCAAAGAAGACCCAAAAGTTGAGTGTTTATGGCACAAGTGTGGCCTCAAATTCATCGTTAAGAGTTAAAGTCTAATATCTTTTGTTAGACCTGCAGGAGAACACACTGAGCTGGAGATGCAGGATCATTAACATAATGACTGTCAAATTACAATAATAATGAAACTTCTTTAGCCATCTCTGGGTCAACATAACAAAAGGGTATTGCCGTGCAAATGAGCTCTACCTCAGCCTGTATTTGTTGATAGTCAATAAGGTCACTAAATGCCACAGAGAGTAAAAGTCAAAGAAATGCAAAAGGAAATCCTTTAACTTGCACACACTCAAAACTCCCGGGGTTTCTACCTCTCGCTGAGGGTAACACCTGCTAAATACTATGCCCCAAATTTATATTTATTTGGGCCGGTCAGAAGCTCCAGCATATGGTCAGGTTGGGTATTTTATCTGCCTTCTAATTAGACTCCAGTCCTGGAGGAGCTGACATACAGACCTGCGGTACAGTATAACTGTGGGCAAAAAAAAAAAAAGTTTGTAATAACCCTATTTAAGTCACGTGTTTATTAATAAAACAGAGAAATCACACATGGATCTACCATCAACCCCTCTTTTTAGAAGTCCTAGCTAAAACCCCTTCCCTCTTGCAAAGYGAGAGCAGGATTCCAGCATAGGCCAGATTTCATCCCTGTTGTTTGAAAAATGCAAACCTAGTGAGGCTACATGCAGGAAAGGGGCTATGGGGCCAAGCTCGGCCTGCTCAGGACTACGTGGCCAGGCTCAGCCTTCTCAGGACCGTGTGGCCAAGCTCGGCCTGCTCAGAGGAAAGACCTGAGGTTGTGAAGGCTGAGGTACCGCTGGCAATATGGGTTTGGGCGCTGAACCACCAGCTTCGGAACCAGCTCGCACGTGTTTCTGACGTTCCATCCATCCTCCCGTTTGCTCCAGAACGTGAAATCCCAGAGGATGGGAGAGAGCACAGGGTGTTTAGTCTCGCCCCGGCGGCTCATCCACGTGGGCTGCCCCGCGGCAGGCGAGGCGAGAGGCGGACACGGAGAGGCCGGCTTCAAAAGAGCCTGACTTCAAAAGCTCCCCCGGGATGCAAAGCTAAATGCTAATGCCCCCCCAGCCRCAGAAGCGCCGCCATCCACATTCCTGCCGCCCCGGCCGCCCCCTCGGCCCGGCCCGCCTGCCGCAGGCGCTCGCCCACGGCCCACGCGCTGCTCAACATTCACCTCATTTGCTTATTGCTTTTTCTTGTTTTTTCTTTCTTTTTTTTTTTAAATCAAGTGTATCGTTCTCGAGTTTTACTAAATCAATTGTTACAGTCTTGTTGTCCACAATTCCTACTGCTTTCTTCATAATGCAGCAGGCCAAAAATCACCACGCGCRTTCAAATCATTTTCACATCAAATTAAAGTAAACTGGGGTTCACTTAGCATCAAACTCTCATAGAAATTTAGCCAAATACCGTATCTCCTCACTGGCCTCACACACATCCATGTGCCTTCAGAGCAGGCCTCATCATCACTAGGTGAAAATTACATTTTTTACCAGAAATGTCACTTCCGACTCATGTGTAGGTCGAATTCCCCAAGTTCACCAAGAGCTCAAGCTCTTCACTGACCTCAGCAGCAGCTGTGACTAGGGCAGGACTTTCTGTCTGGGTTGAGAGCTTAAGGGCTACTCGAAAGACACGTTTTTCAGTTAACTGGCAGGTCATTTTAGCAGATGATTTACAAGTATTTTGCAACACCTAGAGATAACCACACAGAGTATTTCAGTCCGAGCTYCTTCTCTGCCTACATCAGATAAAGCAGAGAAAGCAGCCAGGGGAGGGTTTCCCGGACATAATCCCAAACTCTACAAAACGTCACCCTTTCCAATTCCCACAGAGCAAACTTTTCAAAATCAACATCRGATGGAGCTCAGTGCTTGTCAAAATTACTTCAAAATCCCACTGGTAAAAAGCTCTCTCCTTTCAAACACCTCCAAGCAGGCAGCAGACAGTTTTGATYGAAATCAGGGCAGACTGTCAAAGTTCACATCCGCACCAAATATGAAAATCATGCACTTAACCGTCAAGCTCCTATTACTTAACAAAACTGAGGTTTTAATTCCTTCATTCTCCTATCTTAGATTTCATCCATTTAAACTGTAAGAGGAGCTTCAACGTCATTACAAGAAGACAGGACTACTTTGTATAATCTGTTTTTCTGGCCCGAGCACTCTCCTCAAGTCGTCTAACAAAGCGACTTTGCTAAGCTTCTTGCCTGGTGCCCAGTCCTTATCTCTTGCTGCTAGATAAAGCGCTGCTGCTTCAGACAGAGAATGACCACGCAGTTACCTGTATGTTAACCTAAATGTTGGGGCTTTTTTTTTAAGGTCACAAGCCAACTGCCTGCTTTTCGGCAGGTCCTCACAGCACTCAGGAACACCATTTACGAGCTGACTTCCCACTTTACCTGCCTCGTAGCATTTGCAAGAAACTGGRGCCCGTTTCAGACGACCCACCACAATAATTTCAATCAGTTCACTTAATGCCACTTCCATTTCCCTGAAGCAAAAAGAGGCTCAAGCCTGCAAACACAACAGAGAGGATTGCTCACTACCCTGGGGCCCCACCGCTCTCCAAATGACGATTTACAGTAGCAAGAGCTGCCCGGATTAGTGCCACAGKTAGGTATTTTTTTTTTTTAATACAATCTCCCAAAGAGAAGCATCTCCTAAAGTGTCATTATATATACTAACTGCTTCCAGCTATTTTCTGCAGAAAGAATACAAATATTAGCTTTAGCTTGCMCAGAGATGGGGAGAGGAACGTGTCTGGGTATAACCTCTGAAAGTCAACAAAAGTATGGGATCAGGTCCACAGTAAACTTTATAAGTGGCACCTGCAAAGGAAATTATTCATTGCGTGATTGATGCTACAGTCAGAGACATAAAAAGTAATTCCACAATAAACAAGCAGCTGAGCAGAAAAACAATAATCTCCTAAAACTTTATATAAGAGCACACATCGAGTAATATGGAACAGTCTGCTTAACAGAAGAAACAGTCCTCGCACGCACAAGTGATTTTTCCAAGTAATTTAATCCTACGATACCCTCCAGCCAGTCCTCTTGCCCACCCCCAGCAGCTCTTTCAGCGCTGACTTTGGTGCTGCATTGGCCAGTATCTGTCTTTAGCCCTAATAAAGCTCCTCCTGAGCAATTAGCTGTTCCAGTGCTACTACACRGCTACACCTCATTGCCCTAGGAGCAGGCCTTTCCCACAGAAAGGCACGCCGGCCGTGCAAACCGGAGGCCAGATGTTCTGCCTGTCAGGCGAGCACAGCTCCACCAGCTTCACATTTACCCACTGCTCACCAACGGGGCTAGAGGTTTGTCAGCCAGACCTCCCAGTACACAGGCTGGAATAAATTTTTTTAAAAAAGAGCTCTATCTTGTCGTTAAAAACTAATACAAAACTCCAACTTTTCTTTTTTTTTTTTTTTCTTAAAATAAATGGGGAAATTAAAAGTGGGGGAAAGCTCTCCAAAGTCATGGTGTTGATACCAAGCTTAAGCATTAAAGATAGTATGCATACCCTATACCTTTGCAAGTTAGGTCATTTACTACCTTTATGCATCGCTTCAGCCACACTTACTCAACAGCTCCAGCGCACCACCACGGCACCCGGCCCTGACACATTTATGTGGTTCCTCTCCAAGAACTCTACAAATTGCTGCACCAGTAACCAGAAGGTTGCATTGCAAACTGCATGTAGCCCATTCCTGCACAAGCAGATTTACACTTTGTTACCACTTGCACACTTGCTTACCTGAGACTGACACTTTCATGAGGGCTTCCAGGGGTCTGTTGTTGTCCAGATCCCGACTGAGTTTGAGCTCCCCAGTGGCAGAGTCCAAAAGGAGCAAATTTAATTCATTGCCTTGCACAAAGGTGTAAGCCAGGCTGTCAGACACATCAGGATCATGAGCTGGGATCTTGCCAATCACACCAGAGGGGAAGCTATTGGACTTGTTGGTCACGTAGTTGTTGAAGAGGATTTGGAAGTCCTGCAGCACAGGTGGGTTATCATTCTGATCCAGGAGGCGGATGTGCACCGTAGCTCGGCTGACAAGAGGGGCAGAAGTGGCCTGCACCACGATCACATACTCCGTCCGGCTCTCATAATCCAGGTCCATCAGGGCCGTGAGGTCACCATTGAGCAAGTCCAGCTGGAAGACCTCAGGGATGTTGCCCTCCACAATCTGGTACATGATCTGGGCATTGGTTCCCTCGTCAGGGTCCGCTGCACTGATCCGTGCCACAATAGAGCCCACGGGGCTGTTCTCCTCCACAAAGATGTCAAATTCGTCCTTCTCAAAGACCGGAGGGTTGTCATTGATGTCCAGCACAGTCACCTGGATATCCACAGAGGCTTTCAGGGGTGGGCTGCCCCTGTCTACAGCAAAGGCCCGCAGGCTGTAGACCGCCACATTTTCACGGTCAAGCTTGCGCAGTGTACGTATCACCCCAGAAGTGGGTTCAATGTAGAAGTCTCCATCTCCATCATCACCACCTTGGAATGTGTAGAGCAGGCGGCCATTGAGGCCCGAGTCACGGTCCGTAGCAGAGAGCTGCAGGACGCTGGTGGAGAGAGGCACATCCTCAAACACCGAGCCCTGGTAGCGGTCACGCAGGAAGCGGGGCGCGTTGTCATTGGCATCCAGGATGAGGATCTCGACGTAGGTAGTGTCAGACTTCTGGGGAATGCCATTGTCATGGGCTGTAATGGCCAGCGTGTAGGAGGCTTGGTCCTCATAGTCCAGCTCCATCAGGGTGGTGATGGTGCCTGTGTCGGGRTCAATGCGGAACTGGGGGATGTTATCATCCAAAATGTACGTGATCCTCGCGTTCTCCCCTGTGTCCTCATCAGTGGCACTGATGGTGACAATAGAGGTGCCAATGGGCTTGTCCTCACTCACGCTCACGGTGTAGTGGGAGCTCTGGAAGACTGGGCGGTGCGTGTTGGCGTCTGTGACATTAATGAAGACCTGGACGGTGTCAAAGCGAGTGCCATCCGAGGCAGTGACTGTGAGCACGTACTGCCTCTCCTGCTTGTAATCCAGGGGCAAGGCCAGGGTGATCAGTCCCCCTCCGCTCTGACTGGTGATGGCAAAACGGTTCCTAGTGTTGCCACTGGTGATCTGATAGGTCACCACACTGTTGACATCCCTGTCCACAGCYGTCAGGGTGAGGACACTGCTGCCCACAGCGGCGTCCTCGTTCAGTCTGAGGTGATACACCTTCTCGGTGAAGGTAGGGTTGTTGTCRTTGACATCCAAGACTGTGATGGACACACTGGCTGAGGAGGTCATGACGGGCACACCATGGTCCCTGGCCTCCACCCCAAAGTGGTAGTTCTCTACAGTCTCTCGGTCCAGCTCTGCCGACACCGTGATCCACCCGGTGCTGTTGTTGATCTGAAAAGGGAACGCAGAGTCGCCCGCTACGGGAGCGTTTCCAGCGGGCGGTGTCATCTCTATGAGTTTGTACTCCAGGCGTGCATTTTCCCCAGAATCAGCATCCACAGCCTGAATGTGCAGCACGGAGTAGCCCAGAGGAACGTTCTCCAGCACYGTGGCCTGGAAGGGAGTGCTGACAAAGATGGGGGCATTGTCATTGACATCCACGACCTGCACTGACACCATGCCACTGGAGTTGATTAAGGGAGGCCTGCCCCCATCTTGGGCTTTGATCCGCAGCGTGTACTCCCGGATAGTCTCATAATCCAGAGGGTTGATGAGGTCAATGGCGCCAGAGAATGAGTGGATGTAGAACTGCCCTTTCAGGTTGCCGCTCACGATGCTGTAGTGCACCTGGGCGTTGCTGCCCCGGTCCCGGTCAGTGGCCTGCACCTGCAGGATCTGACTGTTCACTGGGGCATCCTCGGGCACCTGCACCAGGTAGCGCTTCTCGCTGAACTGCGGGTAGTTGTCGTTCTCGTCCTCCACAGTGATGTGCACCATGGCCGTGGCACTGCGAGGCCCYGGGTCCTTGCCCTGGTCATTGGCTTCCACCACCAGGTGGTACTCGGACACCTCCTCGCGGTCCACGGGCGCTCGGGTCCGCACCACCCCGGAGCGCGGGTCGATCTCGAAGACGCCGTCACTGGCTCCCGGCTCCAGCAGCCGGTAGAGCATGTTGGCGTTGGCCGGTGCATCGCCGTCGGTCGCRCGGATCGTCAGCACCTCGTAACCCACCTCCAGGTTCTCCCGAATGCTCTCGCGGTACTCGGGCTGCTCGAACACGGGCTCGTGGTCGTTCGTGTCGCTCACGGTCACCGTGAGGTACGTGGTGGCGGAGCGGCGGCGCGGGGAGCCGTGGTCGGAGGCGGTCACTTTGAGCACGTGCGTGTCCTTGGTCTCGCGGTCCAGGCTGCGYGTGGTCACCACGCTGCCCGTCTCGGCGTCGATGGAGAAGTAGTCGTTGGAGCGCTCGTCGAAGAGCGCCTCCATGGAGTAGGCGAGCCGGCCGGCCTCGCCGCCGTCGGCGTCGTGCGCCCGCAGCGCGATCACGGCCGTGCCCGGCGGCTCGTTCTCCGCGATGGACACCTGGTAGCTGGGCAGCTGGAACTGCGGGGCGCTGTTGGGGCTGCGCGGGCGCCGCGGGGCTCCCGCGGGCGGCGGCTCCGCGCGGCCCAGCGCGCAGAGCAGCGCGGCGCAGGACACGCAGGCGGCACCCTCGCCGGGCAGCGCGCTGGAGAGCTCCAACTTTTCCACCTTAAACTTTGAAGTGAGTTCAAAATGGCTCCTCGCCTCCTCCTCCTCCTCCTCCTCCCACCGCGGAGCCCGGGAGGGTGATTAGCATAAACCTGCTGCTCCTCTCCGGCTCCAAAAGACAAAACAAAACAAGAAAAAAAAAAGGAAAGAAAAAAAGAAGAAGAAAAGAAAAGAAGGCAGCGGGGGGTGGAAGAAACAAACGGGCGCGGCGGAGCCCCCCGGCCGCGCGGCGCGGTTCCGCGTGGCCCGGCCCCTGTGCCGGCCCCGGTCCCGGTCCCGGCCCCGGTCCCGGCCCGCACGGCGCCGCGGGGCAGGTGCCCCCCGGGCTGCGGGGGCAGCGGCACCTGATCCGGCCGCGGCGCCCTCCGCCGCAGCGCCAGTCGGCAACGTTGGCGTTTCGGTATTCCCGGCAAAAAAAAAGGAAAAGCCAAACCCATAAAACTCCCTCCAGAATCAGGTGGTCGCTACCTCCCCCCGCCCCAAGCTGGGTTTCCCGGCCGCCGATGGCAGTCGGGCTGCGCAGGTTCCGTGCCTCGCTCTAGCGTTCGCAGCGTCCCAGCCGTCCCTTTGGGCTGCCGCGCTGCTCCCCGCGCAGCCCCGGGCAGGTCGCCGGGAGGTTTCGCAGGGACAGCCGCGCGCAGTCCTGCCCGGCGCTGCCGGTCGGGTGCCAGCGAAGGCAGCCCGCCGCTTCCCCCGCGGTGACGGCGCTGGCTCCGCGGGGCGCGCATCCGTGGCCTTGTTCCGCGCCGCCTTGTCCCGCGCTGCGGCGCTGCATCCCTGCGGCTGCACTGGCCTCTGCTGGGTGAGGCGGGAAGCGGGGCCCGTCGCGGCCGCTGCGCTTGCAGGGGCCGCATGCTGGGCACCCTGCAACAGCCTTTGTGGGACCCCTGCAACAGCCTGTGCAACACCCTTCAACAGCCTTTGTGGGACCCTGCAACAGCCTGTGCAACACCCCTGCAACAACCTGTGAAATACCCTGCAACAGCCTGTGCCACAGGTACCACCAGGAACAGCAGCTGAGCAGCCATGCGAGCTGGAAGGCAACTTCTGGAGAAGGCTCTAAGCTCTTAGACACGTTAGTGTATGCAGCAAGGGCAAGAAGACACTGAAAACACACATGGCTGAAACTGCTCTCATCCCTGGAACGGCACTGTTTCCAGGAGGAAAAAAAAAAAAAAAAAAGGGAATGCCAGTATGTCCGTCATGAAGTTTTGGAAGCTGCTTCAGCCTTACCTAGTTAGATTGCTTTTCTATGGCATATGGAAGCTTAGTTACATTTTCGACTCCTCTGATGAAACTGAATAGTTCATTTAAAGAAGAAGGAAATAGATTTAAAAACAAATTAGATATAACCTCGCCATTTTCGAGCCCAAATGGATATTATGATCTTTTTTTTTACGTTCACAAAAATCAGGCAACTTACCCTCATTGTGATTGTTGTAAATCATAATAACATTAACTTGGGCTCTGTGCAAACCCCTCTACTTTCAGTCCATTTTATTTTTCGCTGATCCATTTTCTGGTCCCAATGCTTTTTGCCCCTATTTTTTTTTAAAAAAACAGCTTGTTATAAAATAATCCTATATATTTTTATTATTATTATTATTATTTTTACCTGAGATTCAAGTCTTTGTTTCAGAAGTTTTAAGCAGATGTACCAGGTCCACAAGAAAAGAGCATCTGCTCCAGCCCAGGTAACTCGTCTGCCGTTTATCAGCACTGCTCACGGAGCTGTTAGTTTGACCTGTTTTACTCTATTTTCATTAATTACATGGTCTCTACACTTCCCAGGTCCTGTCATGCTTTACACTGCCTGCCATATTATTTTACCATAAAATACATATTTCAAAGGCATAATTGTAAATACCTTGTTTGTGTTCAAACACAGGGCTGACTTGCTGCCCAGGCAAAACCAGGCAGTTGTCTGGAAAACACATGGGCTGCTCAAGTCAGTTTTCAGACACTGGACCTGGTCAAATAACTTGCACCTATTTCAATATCACTCCCATTAAATGGGTGTTTCTGTAGAAATTGAGATCTCGGCTTGATTGGAAATTGGATCTGGATTGATCCTTCTTCGCTGCTGCTCCTGTGGGTCTTTTTTTTTTCTCCAGCAGAGACAAAGATATTGACAAAACCAAATAGCTGGTGAAGGAAATTCAAGTTGGGGACAAAAGCCAGAATTCCGTTTGCCTGATGTTTTAACTGGCAACTCTTCAATGAGGGATTATCTTTCAGAGAAAATTAGTTTCTCCCTTTGACTTTCTGCTATCTACTGCCCTTATTTATACAAGAAATCGCAGTGATGCCGAGAAGATGGGTGATTTCCATGAAAATACACGTGCGGGCGRGGTTCTGCCCAGTCCTTTGTGTTCTTGGTAGCCATCAATGACACATTCATTTCACTGTTCAAAAAGTCCTGTTTCATCTTGTCCAAGACTGAAGTATTTCAAGTTTCTTTCCAAAGTGTATTTAAAATAAAAGCAAGGAGGTTAGAAAAAATGAAGGGATATTATTACTACCCAGATCCATTCAGAGCTCAGCTATGCAGAAAGAAAAATCAAGAGATTTTCTTGAAATACTAAATTTACAAGGGCAAGGAGGACTCATTTCCTCAGCTTAAACTGTACTGCAACATTTCTAGGCCAGGGAAAAATAAAAGGCGAGTTAGATTTGCTTGTGTCTAGATCTGATAATATTTCTGAGGCAGGAAAGAAGTGATTCACCTTTGCGAAAGAAATTTGGAAGGAGCCCGGGCATCTCACAGCCCCTCAGAACTTTAATGAAAAGCTTAAAAGCTGCTGTGCAGGAGAACAGTACTGCAAATGCCTCACTTCTTGCAATAGAAGTGGCAAAAATCCTTTTGTCATGGGCTTTTTCAGTGCCATAAAAAGGTAAGGCACAAATTTTCCTCCCTCCACAAAAAATGGTATTTTTATCTTCTAAAGTTATTCGGTTCTTTTTGTTGTTTTGTTTTGTTTTTACCTGAGAAGAGAAATCATGCTCAAATTCACACATCTATGCAACACAACTTTCAAAATACAAACATAGGTATGAAATTTGCGAACACACATACATATCATATCTGCAATATTATATAAGATTTATACCTGCAGTGTTAGCTGCAAATTTGTATGCGTGATGTATTCGTAATTGCATTTTTTGACTCACAGACAGTGATCTATTCCTGCTCAGGTAACCTGTTACGAAAACAACCTTAGAAACCACAACAGGCAACACGAACGCAGCCTGTAACCACATCTTATTTCTCAACCTTCCAATTTTCCAACACCTGGAAAGAGAACAGTTGCTTTGTGCCATATATTAGAATTGAACAAAATGAGGTTCTGGAGGGGAATACTATTTATTATCCATGATTTCCAAAAAAAATCTTACTGAAGTGGAGCGAATCTAAATTACAGACAAGTTGTTGGAGTTTCAGGCTGGGTGTGCTGGGTCCCGCTGCTTCCACACGTGGCAGATGAGGTGCAGGCTGCACGGCTGGTGATCCACATGATAAGAGGTCACTATTGAAAAGGTACCTGGACTTCTAATTCACACCTGACTGTCTCGTTTGCCATCCAGGAAAGCTCAGGTGAGCCAAAGTTGCTATATTTTCTCACACGTTTCCTGGGAGTTGATTTTGCGAATGGAAGAATTCGCTGGAGCTCCATAAGATGCAATCTGAACCTTCACCTATGGCAGGAACCACATGGGTTTGGARAGGTTTCAGAATGTACTTTTATTGCTGACATTAATTATTTGTGAAGCCAAGAGCAGCCGCCAAACTGCTGCAGTCCTTCTTGCCAGGATCATGTTCAAGGCTCCTGGGCTGTACGGAGCTGCTATTAGGCAGTAAGAGAAGAAACCATTTAGAGCTCTTGAACAGTGAGTTCGTTTTAACCAATCCTGCCCATGCTTCTTTTAAAATCCTCTGTGGAGATGGGAGCTATTTGGTGTTGTAACTTGTTTATTTCCTTAGACTTAATACCATCCACTTTGGATTTACCCTAAGGARCTCAGCTCCACCCTCCTCAAACACTGCTGTGAATTTCCTCACTCGAAATATGGTTGATGTTTTTTCTCCTCACTTACATTAGCTAAACATCCAACCTGTCAAGACATGCAAGAGACAAGTAAGCCAGTGGATGAGCAAGCTTCATGTACAGGAACCGCACAGTGGAGAAGAACAAATAAAACCTGAATGTGGCTCAACTTTGATTCACGGGAGAGGCGAAACCCTCGTGCATCATAAACGTGGTCCTACAAAGCTGTAATGAAACATTATCTCAAAACTGAGGATGATGTCCTGGTCCAAATAAGCCCAGATCCAGCCCCAAGGAGCAGTGATGGACAGTGGCACGAGCAGAAGCGTTAGTGGCAACGGGGTGACGTGTAAGGGGGTGACGTGTAAGGGGGTGACGTGTAAGGGGGTGACGTGTAAGGGGGTGCTGTGGGTTGCACGGGAGCTGCTGCTGCCCCGGGGCCGCCGGCCACAGTGGCTTCGATGCCTCCGTGTCGGGGGACACCTCCTGCTCCCTGCCCTTTTCCACTTCTCCCTGGTTCTTCCCAGTGCTCTGTTTATCCCTCTGGCACCCCGTTAGCAGCGAAATGTCGCCCTCTAGTAATTAACAGTGATTGCAGAACCTGCCTGCACCCACACAGCTCCCTGCACACTCGCAGGTGTCTAGAGAGGCAGGATTGAGGTTCCCCCTCTGGCCATTCCCGTGCATCCCCTCCCGCGGCGGCAC